TCAGCTTGTAATTATATATATATTTATTCGAATTTAAAGATAACATTGTAAAATGTGTAAAACGACAAAATAAACTAACTATATGTAAATTATATCAGCTAAGGGTTTTGTAAAGAGTGCAGCTAGTGTTTGCAAAAAGTTCAGCAAGCTACTAGGCGTAGATCATTTCACTTTAGCTTTTCGGTGTGTAATGCTTAATGAAAAACAAGTGGACAGCTGATATACCTAATCAAAAAGACATTAGAAATGCACTACATTAACACTAATGATTGCTGTTAGCGGTTGTACGATAGTGCCTCCAATATGTCGTTGGTCTGTAACTCTGGGTTGTAAGTCCGTATCAAAATGTTTCTGCTTACAGTTTAGGTACAAATTAAAATATGGACTCCTGCTAAAATAGGGTTAAAATATCTCCACCAATGTTTTAACTCTATTTTTGCAAAATGAGTCATTAATACCGTACTAGATTCTCATTGAGGCGATTTTACGGGGGAGTGGGGGAGGGGGGTGGTGGAAAAACTTAAAAATAACCTTTTTCAGGGAGGGGGGGAGGGGGGATAATAGAACACTCAGGGGGGATGGGGGGATAATAAAACTCTTTATTGTATGTTCCATTAAATTGGAATTCAGGCCATTCTTGGATTCTGGTTAATATTGCAGCAGTTAAAACATTGCTGAGAAGTCTTAAAATAAAAACTGAAAATAGATGTAAAGTTGACATGTAAACTTTACATCTATCAAACTTTACATCTATCAAACTTTACTGATTGTTTACAATAAGTCTTTCGCAAATTGTCTGCACGCACAGGTGCGCGTTCAACTCTTTAAACGGGCTATTCTTCTTACAAGGTGTATTTTACAGAATCAGTTTTTTAAGCTCGTAAAATAGTAGTCAATAGCGTTTTTATATTTGTATACAAAGAGCACCCAAATTCCAAAATTAAGAGTTAACAAAAAATAAATGTTAAGAATAATTCCATTGTTTATCACTTTTTAGCTAAGCTAGAAAGACAAATACAAATTTATGCTCTATTACTTTCTTGTTCGGATTCTTAGTTCGTCTTCCAGATTAGATTAAAAAAAAAAAAAAAATCCGTACTTCAACACGGACATTGATTTAAAAAAAAAATCTCCACATTGTTTGGATAAATTTATAAAAGTTCTTGGGCGATATGATAACAACTTGTGCGTTATGATAACAACAAAGATGGTATCGGACGACCAAGAGTTTTTAGATATCGGCGACGTGGAAGAAGATGTTGACGGCAATGCAGAAATATAGTTTCTTATGTATATTTTTGTGAAATAAAATTATATAATTTTAGTTAAAATGTTTCTTTACTTATTTAGTTTATTCATTTTTTATGACTAATTTAACCGCTATAACACCTTTGTATCAAACAAGTCCCAGCAAACAAAAAGTTATCTAAAATCCATTTAATATGCATCTAAAAACTGGTCTAAAAGACGTCTAAATTCAGGTCTAGAACGGGACATAAATAGACGTCTATCTTATAGACGTCTTTTAGATGCATTTTATTCGACACAAATAAATGCCTTAGATGCATAAAAGATGTGAAACATACATTTAAAGTTGTATATTAGATGTATATTAAATATATAAAAGAGCTATTATTAGTTAAAAAAATTATCTATTGTCTATCTTTTTTAAACGCGCCTTAGACATCTATTCAAGAGACGTATTTTAAACATCTAATATACATCTATAAGATATATATTTCACATCTTTTATCCATCTAAGGCAATTATTTATGTCGAATAAAATGCGTCTAAAAGACGTCTATAAGATAGACGTCTATTTATGTCCCGTTCTAGACCTGAATTTAGACATCTTTTAGACCAGTTTTTAGATGCATATTAGATGCATTTTAGATATCTTTTTGTTTGCTGGGTCTGTTTAACGGCTATAGAATACTTTTTTAAAGAGCGAAAAAGTTAAAATAAAAATTTATAGATCAGGCGAAATTTCATTTTGCTTTTCAAATTTTAAAAAGAAGAAAAAACAAAATTTTTAAAAAGAAGAAACGAGAACGAAATAAATGAAAGAATATAAAATAAAGTTCAAAAGTAACGTAAGATCAGGCTGAAATTTCATTTTGTAAAAAATAAAATTAATAAAAACAGTTAAATAAAAAAAAGGTAAAAAATGAATAGGCTGCACAGCGGATCATAGTCAGAAGGAGCAGTTATCATTGGTCATGCGATTTGTAAAAATTAATGCAAGTTCTCTTAAGAGTGAAAATGAAGATGTATACATTGAAGAACATTTCCTTGGATTCTTAGACGTTAAACCAACGACGGGAAAAAATCTAACTGATGTTCTTTTACAAGAGTTAGATAAAATTGGATTGTAAATCAGGGACTTCATTTGACAATGGTATAATAACGGTTTCAATATAAAAAGTTTCTACTCTTGAATACAGGCACGGATCTTAGAAATAAATCCAAAAGCATTTTACATGCCCTGCTCTAGCCATAGCGTCAACTTCCTAATTTGAGACGCAGAAAAATGTTTATCGAAATCTATGACGTGTTTTGGTGTGGCGCAAAGAATTTTTCTTCGTCAAAAAAGCGATATTTTTATGAAACACGTACTAAATCTGAATATAAAAAAGTCCTGTGACACTCATTGGGAAAGTAAACTGGAAATATCAAATTAAGAAAGTTCATACTGCGTTAGTTAAACTAGTTGAGTTCACTGAGGATCTAAAAACAAGCCAATAATGAAATACCATCAGTTATGAATGAAAAAAGTTATGAAAAAAAAAGCCTACAGGCTTAAAAAATGCACCTTGGAGTTGCGTTGCAGTTGCTTCAAAGGATAGTTTAGTTTTTTTCAGAAATTTAGGTTTAGTTTTTGTGGCGGCAACATTGTTAGCAAAAGAACTTAGTGAAACTCTTGGTGTAGAGCCAAATTTCAAAGAAGCTAGGCAGAGAAAGAAAAGAAAACTGTTTGAGTATGAGGAGATCCGCCAACCAAATGTTTAAAGTGGAGTATTTTTTTGTTATTGCAGATACCGCAATACAGTCCTTGAAAACGAGGTTTGGACAAATAACTAATTACGATACTAATAACTAATTAGTTTGGATTTTTGTATTATGTCAAAAAACTAAAAGCAGTAAAAAAAGATAAACTGTTTCAAGTTATGACCTAAAATAGTACTTAAATTTTGAAGAAGAAAGGAATCTTTTTGGAATTTTTCTGAACTTAAGGATCTTCGAGAACTTCTACGGGTTGAAGTGGAAAAAGCTGCAAGGATTTTAAGATATATTTACCTGATTCAAAACTTATTTCCGAATGCATTTATAACGTATAGAATTTTACTGACTATAACTGTAATTGTGGCAAGCGTAAAAAGAGTTATTTACGCTTGGAATATATCAAGACATAAATAGGTTCGTCAGTGGGCAAAAAAAGTCTATCAATTATGACGTCTAAGTTTTCATCCTTTTGACGCAATTTTAAAAATTATCTAACCCAGGACAATTTTTCAGTATTAATAACACTGTATTATTTTATTACAAATATTTACCAGTATTCTATTATAAAATTAATGTCTATTATTTTACAGGGTGAACACTTATTATATAACATCTACCTACCTACGAGCACCTTTTATATCGATTACTGAAAACTTAATAAGATTACTATTTTGTAAAAATGTGTTGTATTATTTATAACTGGTTATTTAATGATAACCCAAAAAAGAAATATTTAATTATTATTCTAATTCATTTATTTCTTGTCATACAAAAATTATTATTTATTTTACATTATTTGGTCTTTAATAACTTTAAGAATAAATTTTATTGTTATTATTCTAGATTATTTTGTAAAGCCATCAGTCCTTTTTAAACACATACACAAAAATAACAATTCAAAGTTATACTAACCCAAAATTTATGTTTTGCACTTATACAACCTCTTTTAAGACAGTAAGAGAAAAACTTTTTCTTGTCAAAGTGCCAAAAATGAAGAATTTCAAGAAGCCCTCACAAAAATGTATTGCTCCAGGCCTCGCATTTTCTTAGGACGACTCTGTCCTTACACTACCTACTTTAGGCGCGCAAGGAAAAAAAGGGCACAGATTTTATCTTTAAAATCAATGCAGTACGTTGTTGCAAATTTATTAATAAAAAAATTTACAGTAGTGTTATTCAAATTTACATTTCTCTCAAAACTGGATTTAAGTACCTATATTTTTTTAAATATCAATTCGTTTATGTATTATTGTTATTATTATTATTATTATTCTGCAAAAGCTTAAGAAGACTCATTTAAATGACTAAACTAAAAGTAGCTTGAAAAATTTTCTGATAATATTAATAGGCTAATTTAATATTATTAGTCGAATTACGTCATTTTCTAGGCTTTTCTATACGCGGTTTTTGTTTTTTAATTTCATTTACTAACAACGCGTATTACGGGTTGCTTACTGCTAGTATAAATGAAAAGTGCAAACTATAGCACAGTTAAGACCGGAATGAAAGAGGGATGTTCTCTGATGTTTTGGGACGAAGCTTGATACACGGCGTAAAACTTATCAAGAAATAATTTGAATCTGAACAACTTTTACACCTTTAATTTTCTGAAACGGTTGGAGATTAATTCCATGTCAAAACAACAAGTCAAAATAACCCACTATCTCAGAAATACAGTTTTTGGCGCTAATGTAGTTAACAGTGCCGTTAGTAACAATTAAAAATAGTTTGGAGTCATTTTCCTTATTTTAAGAGTCTTTAAAGTTTGAGATTTTTTTACATTTTTTTATTCTCCGCGCTCCTAGCAACGTCTATAGCAACACTAAAATGTTTAAGTATACACATCTACCATACCTTTACAAAATTTTCTTTACATTAGCCATACCTTTACAAAATTTAATAGGTATAAACACTTTTGACGGAAGAAATTGAAATCTTTGCAATTTTTGAATACCCGTAAAAGGCAAAAGTTATTTCACTACGAGAAGCTTCCAAACATCCCCGCGAGATATTTGTAGCAGTGTGATTTTCGCGGATTCACTACGACCCAATCTGTTTACTTATTCTTTGGTTGAATGCTTCTTAGGTTTTTAATTCTAAAGCCTTTTTAAGTTTAAATAGTAGCTAGATTATTAGGAGTAAGGATATGACAGAAAAATAATACCTGTTAACTAAAAAGCATGCAGAGTGGCTAATTTCAGCCGACTTTTGTATATATCAAAAAAAACTAATATCAAAAGTTTTATTTATATTGCGATGAGTAAATCAAGGTCTGTGAAAAGAAAATCAGAAAAGCAAGATTTTGAAGAAATTGATAATAAATGTAACGAATCAAAAACGCAAAAAACCTCAAAGAAGGAAAAAATAGAAAACATACAACGAAATCAGAATGGTAAGTACTAGAAACCATCTACTTATTTATTTATTTCATTTACCAACTTAATGCTAGTTAGGAAAACCTTTACATAAAATTAAATTAAATGCATTTTAAAAGTTAATTTTTATTCAATGTTTAAAAAAAGTATAATATTCAAATTTTTTGAGTCTAGTTCAAGGGACTTTTGAGCTATTTTGTTGCATAGTTCAAAACCTTTTACAAATAAAGACTTCTACCCTACTCGATTAGTATCATTGGTGTAATCCACTAACATTGGTCGAATGTTATGTTTTTTTAATTTTTGTTTACACCAAGAAAAAAAAACTTCTAAAAAATCAAGTCTTAATAGTTAGGAACAATATTTGTTTAAAAGAATAGTTTTTAAGTTCATTAATATAAATATTTGTTTATTCTTGCAAGACATCCAGTTTTCTTTGCAGTTTCACTTAATGGTTGTTTATGTTTTTTGATTTGGCATTGTGTTGTGTAAAAGTTGATATTTAGTTTTAATGTTCAGATAATCACTAATTTCAATTAATTGATATGTAAATGGTTTAAAATTACGTTTTATTTGTTTGTTTGTTTTTGTTAAAATATCTCTTTTTATTTTATAACTTTTAATTACCAAGACAATTGAATAGTAATTTATTCAGTAATTTATTACAAGTAATTTATTCAATTTATTCAATTTATTCAGTAATTTATTACAAGTAATTTATTCAGATTCAGATTATTATTGTTCTAAATGGCTAAAAAATTTTACCTTTAATCAAAACCTTTTTTTTTTAGATAAAGAATTTCAGATTTTACTTTAAACACTTTTTCAAAAAAAGATTAAAAAAAGAGAAGAAATAAAATAAAATAGAATTTCCTTATAAATATCCTTCATATATAGATATATCCTTCATGCATACCCCTCCCCTCCACCACCCACCACCAAACCCCCTACCACAACTCCCAAACCAAACCTCTCACTATACATCATTTTTGGCTTAAAATGCTTCTATATAGCTCAATAGTATATAGCAATATATAGTTATTATCTTTTTTAGGGGAATTAATATTTCCTGATCATCCTGATTTCTTGCCAAATCGTTCTCCAAAAGAGGTTATGCAAGCAGGTGCTTTTGGTGGTGGATATTTCAGAAAAATAAAATCTGGTGTTACTAATGAATGGCACACTGATGCATGGAAAGAGTTTCCAGAAGATTGGTTTGACGGTTTAAAGCCTAGTTTACATGTTGCAAATCCAACATATGACAAATCAGTAAACAAATATAAAGTTAAATGTGGTTTATCTCTCGAGGAATGGGAATCATATGGTATGTTTTTCATGATATATTATTACTTTTGTTACCTTAATCTTTATTGTATACTTTAATTTATTTTCATTTAATTAACAGTAAACAATAGTTAACAACATAGTGCAGAAAATTTCAAAAGATTTAAAGAATTGTTTTTTGTTTGTTTGAAAGAAAAATAAAATTCACATGGTTTCACTTTTACTAAATCATAAAAACAAACAATTTTTTAATATAAAGTTTTAAATTTTTAGTTTTGATGTCAATTTTAAAAGGTGTTGTTGCTTCTTGTAGCTAATGTAAAGTTATTGCTACAATAAGCAACAACACCTTTTTGTAAAAGGTGTTAGGTGTTTTTGCAAAATAATGTTAGTTGCCTGAAGCAACTAACATTATTTTGCAGTTCTGCAGAATTTTATTAGTGATAAGTTGTAAAAGCATTCGTTTGAAGTGAAGTTCAAAATAGAAATGTAACAATTTTTTTTTTTAAACTTTTATTTAAATAAATACCTTTTCTACATCTATTTACTACTTTAAATTTAGTCTCTTTAGATTATAATTACTATTATTATTAGATTATTTAGATTATTGGAATAGAAAAATTATTATTAAATATTGTTCCAATAATAATAATTAAATTATTATTATTGGAACAGAAAAATTATTATTATATATATACTGACGAATAGATGTAAAAAAAGTTAATAAGTTAATTTAAACAATTATTCTTTTATGTTATTTGGGTTAAAAACATTTCTCTAAGATATAATAAAATAGCAAAGTTTTAAATATTAATTTGTTCAATTTAACAACATCTTTTTAATAATCATTTTTAAAAATTATTATTTATTATTACTTATTTTATTTGATTAACTAGCAAAGCATTTTGCTCCGATCCACAAAGTGTGAAGAGTTCACCATCTTTTGTCAAATTGTACATTTTATGTTTTTTGTAAACATTTTGTTAATAAGTTGATCAATTTTCTTTTTTTAGCTCAATTGCTTGTAAAACATTTGATAAAAAACACAATTTTCTTGCAAAAGACTGTACACTGTATAGTTTGTTTTGATTTTGTTGTTTTGAATATGGTTTATATCTGAACTTCATACATTGTTTGAAGTTGAGATGAAAACAAATATTGGAAACAACAACAAAAGAATTTAAGCACCTTTCATAACTTTTCTAGCAATTTCATTAAAACTATTTTAAAAATTTAAAATTTTATTAAAAATTAATTAAAAATTATATTAATTTAAACAATTAAATAAAAAAAAAATGATAAAAAAAATAAAAAAATTGCTGCCTTTATTACATCGTTTTAAGCAGGGCTGTGGAGTCGGAGTTGTGGAGTTGCGACAATTTTAGTGGAGTCGGAGGTGCTAAAAAATATTGCGACTCCGACTCCGATAGTAAAATTTCTTGGTATTACACGTGCATGTACAAAACATTCAATTAACCTTATGTTCATACTAAACCTCAAAAAATGTTTCATAAATTTGTCAAAAAAAAGTTTCAACTTATTGTGCAATATTTTTTAAAGAATTCAAAGAATTTTTCAAAAATTTGGCTTTGGAGTTAGAATCGGAGTTGGAGTCGGAGTTGAAGTTGTACTCAAAAAATTTCAACAACTGGAGTTGGAGTCGTTTCTTTTTTTTTACGACTCCACACCCCTGGTTTTAAGTGTCAAAAGAAAAAAAGGTCACAATAAGGTCTAATAAATTACATTTTTTCAATAGTTAACAAAAACAATAAAAAAAACTGCTTCTAATTATTTAACAGTTCAAATTTTTGAATAAAAGGTTTTTATTTTGTGCTATATTTTATTCTGTGGTGTGAATGATGAGCTCAGTGCTAGGTCAATTTCCAGATTAATCCTTCACCTCAAGTCTTTAATACTATTTGTCTTCACTATAATCCCCGTAAAGATTCATATTTATTTACTCCAGTACTCTATTGTTCAACTAAAATTACCCCTGGATTATTAATTTCTATTGGGTCATTCTAGGATTTTATAATAACTGCCTAATTGGTTTGTTTCAGTGCTTTTTTAACAAATCAGTTTTCTACTGTCTCATTCCAGTACTTCTTTAAAAATAAACATATTTTCACAATTATAAGAGTGAATACCTTTATGAGTAACATTTACACTTCTCTTAAACAACCCTCAGCATTATTATTCCTTTTATCAAAAGCTGAATCCTTTTATCAAATCCTTTTTTTTAAATTATCAAAAATTGAATTAATACTTCAATGAGTCAAGCACCTAGTCTTGATTATCTAAGTTAACTACATCTTATCTTGACTATTTAAATTACGTCATTTTTTATCAAGTGATTTCATTATTAATTTTCAATCCTTTAGGATTGGAATCTAAACCTTTCCCATCTTGTATTTCATATATCAAAAAAGTCTAATACTCAAACAAAAAAGTCTAATACTCAAACCCCCTAAACCAACAGATCTGTAGAAAAGCCATAAGTTTAATAAAAAATAGTATGAAACATACTTTTTTTTTTCGCCACCAATCCCCCGGTGTTGTTGGCTCTGGAGACTAAATATCAAGGAGGTTGATTTTTTACTGTGATCGCTGGGTATTTAACAATTTTTATTCAAAAAAACTCTAAATATTTGAGTTTCATCGACATCAACGTCATTCGTTTCGGATTGCACAAAATAAAGTATTTATAAACGTCTCGGTATGTTGGTAAAAAAAGTTTAAATAGTTTTTTATTAGTCTAAAAAACTCTAGTTGTCTGGGTGAACAGTTAGGTCGAATTTCAAAAAATATACATTATGTAACAGAAATCAAAATTGCTGAAAATGTATTATTTGTTGAGGCAAAAATGTTTTTTAAAGAACGTATTTAGTTTGTCCAATCACCTTTAAGCCTATCATTTCAATTGTTTTAATAAAATTTTGTGTAATAACTTAATAATTTTAATTTAAAAAAGTTAACAATATATTAAAATATTACAAAAAAGTTGTTTATCATTGATGAGAAAATATAACAAAATAACTGTTTATCCTCTCGAAAATTCGATTTGACGCAAAACGATAACTAACTTTTTGTACTGATTTTACAAACAAAAATAAAGGTGAGTTTCCACTCATCCGTTTTTTCACGGGAACGGTAAAGGGAATGGAAATATAATCATGTGGGCATGCGTATTATAAGTTTTAATTTGTCCGAAGTAAAACTACGCATGCTCACGTGATTATTTTTCCCTTTCCTATCCCGTTCCCGTAAAAAAACGGATGAGTGGTAACTCACCTTAAAAACTCTGTATCGGAAACTATTTGACTGTAAATAAACAATGAAAAAATATTGTTTCAATATTTTTTCATTGTTTCGTACGTATTGTTTTTAGACCCATTTGTACCCAGTCTTCTTTACTGTAAAGATGACTATAGAAGACACTCAAAGTTTTAATAAAAGATATATGCATAATAATATTTGTTTTTATTTATGCTAGGTTGGATAAAACATCAAGATCCTTTCGGATGGTTTCAATGGTATTGTAGATTTTATCTTGGTCGTCGAACAGAGGACGACATACGGCAAATTGGTCGTTGGAAAAATTTTCTAGGAAGATTTAAAGCTAACCTTGTAAATAAAATAAATCGCGCAAATACAAAGTATAACGATTATACTATCTCACCAGTAATCAGACAAGCATTGTTGCATTGGGGCTATGAAGTAACTCCAAAAGATGTCGAGAATGGAAAAAAGAAAAAAAATTGATTTAACAATTTCTAATTTTAGTCACATTTTGTTTTGAGTTACATTATTATTGTTTTTGTTCACAAATTCTCATCATATTCTCAATCATCTGGTCAAATAGAATGTTTAAAAAGAAAAAGAGTTTTTTTTTTTTAACGATTTAAACAGTTATCTTATTTTATATCCTAAGCATAGCCGAAACGTTCTTTATATTTAAAGAAAAATAAAATATTCTTATTCTTTTTAAAAATAGCAACGTTAATTTTTAGAAATACCGACGTCGCGAAACTTACCTGTAGGTGGGGTCCGAACCCCGGGTCCTTTGTTTCTGAGGCAAGCCACGGCTGCTGATTTTGCAATATTTTAAGTAAAGTAGTTGATAAATCTAACTAGTTTGAGGACAAAAAACAACGCATAGTAACCTATCTGGCTCCGATTACGTATCTCAATTCGTACAAGAAACATTTTACTAAGCTACAGTTATCGACCAGCTAGCAGCATGATTAAAAAATTTGTCTGCGGAAAAGTTTTACAAACAATAAATTGTTTAAAAAATGATAATGTTCATTTGTTCAATGATTATATTTTCGATATCTTTTGATTTAATCAAAAAATCATAATCAATGACATTGATTATGATTATATTTCAATGACATTGATTATGATTATATGATTATCTTTTGATTATATAGGTTATCCTATATAATCAAATATTGATTTTAATCTTATACCAATTTAAAAAATAAATACCGTGCAAAAGTGCAAGCACAATTCATGAGAGAAAAAGTGACGGCATTTCGAGCCAGGGCATATAATGTATAATTTGTAAAAATGCTTATGCTATGTCTTGAATACTATACACAGGGTTGCCACTCAACCTGGAATATTTGGAAATAGTATAAATCCCAGGAAAACTCAGGGACTTTTTCAAATTGTTTTTTTTTTTCAAAAATATATTACTAATACATATAATTGCAAGTTTACAAGATGTAACTGTTGTTGTAAAAGTTTTAGTTTGTCAAATATAAAGATTGTGCTTAAGAAGAAAATAATAATCTAGTTGACGAAAAAATTCTTGTGGTAACCCTGTATACTTAAAAAAGCTATTCGAGTGCAAAAGTCATGGATTAGATCGATGTTTTTTTCCGACTGGAGAAAACTTAGTGATCAAATCAAAGGACATCATAACAACCCTGCCCACCAAAGCCTGGAAGACTTTGTTCACAACTGTTAACAATGATAGTAAGATTGGTTTAGCAACCAAACAAGCCTTAGGGCCTGAAATGGCAAGGTGGCGTGAAATATTGCGGTGTATTCTTGATTCAACATTGTTTTTTTAAACACAAAACATGGCTTTTAGAGGTTAACTATATTTTTTTATTTGGCAATGAAAAGGGATTGTTGTTGAAACAAAAAAGGTCAAAAATTGTTAATGAAAATCACCTCGTAAAATAGCAAAAGATCTCCAACTTCTGTTTTTTTAATAAATTTTGCTTAGTTTATGAATAATCCCAAACGGCAAAAAAAAAAATGCATTGTATCAACACAATACATTTTTTTTACCGTTTCTTGTATTATTATTGCTACAGTTCAAGCTTCTACTTCAGGAGAACAAGTGAACTACAATTTTTTTGAAGCTCTGGAAATGATAAGTTATAACAAAGCAGTAAAAAACCAACTTAAAAATTTTAACCTTACTGCTGGCATGAAACTAAGTCCTTAATAGAGTTTTTAAAATTGTTTGAAACAATTTACTTCTTACCTTTTGGTACAAAGCTCTCCAAGTTGTTTACAAAGTAAGTTGTTTGTTTATTCAGCTTCACTAATTATCTATGACAAAGTTATTCACAGTCAACAGCTAATTAGTAATCTTGACCGCATCCTCTCATTATGGATTAATGTTTTGCTGAAGCAAAAGCTGTTGCAGGTCCTCTCTTTGAAACTAAATCTTTGTCAAAACATAGGAAGAGAGCAAAACGAGATTGCAACGAACTTTCAAATGCAGCATTCTGCAACGAGAGCCCAGAGCAACAATTTGAGATAAATACCTTCAACGTTGTCCTTGATCACTTTATTTCAAAAATTCAATCAAGCTTTGACATTGTAGAGACTTTTTCTTCAAGATTAATTTTGAATCTTGAAGATTGAGAATATTCTCAATTACCTGGTTGAAAAACTAATAACCACATTCTTTAATGACAAAAACTTGTGAACAGGCGCATGATGATGCCACAGAAGACGCCTTATGGAAGAAATTATGCATCTTAATCTTTAAAAGAGTCTTCGTTTTTTACTCAAGGAAACCCCTTGAGCCTTCTTAACCAAATAGATTTAAAGGTCTACTGCCTATTTTCCCATCTGTATGCATATTTAAGAATAAATCATTTTAAAAGCGTGTACAAATACATTATTGCATCTTTAAAGGGGCGCCGACTAGGTGCTTTGCCCCGGGCGTCATGAAAACTCTTGGCGGTTCCCCACCCCCGGTTTCTGCATGATATAAAAAATTGCCTTCCGCATATTATCAAAATAGGCATTAAAGAAAAAAAAATTTATTACTGGCGATCTAAACATGAATTTTTTAAACTACGAGAATGACTGTAAAATAAAAAAATTTTATGATTTAATATTTGAAATAGGAGCAATTCCCCTAACTAATCATCCAAGTAGAGTATCAGCAAACACAGCAACTCTCATTGATAACATTATTACAACTGATGTCTTCAATAACAATATACAAAAAGGTATATTGAAAGCAGATATAACTGATCATTTCCCAATATTTCTATCATTCATCTCAAATTCTAAAAACTAATAATAAAATAAGTAAACGCACTCAAATTTTAAAATTAAAACTAATGATAAAATAAGTAAACGTATATATAATATAAACAATATTGAGCAGTTTAAAAAACTGCTTCATTGGAAGCATATAAATTTCAATGAGGACACAAATAGAATTTATGAAAATTTTTTTAAAGCATTTTATTCTGTCTATGATGCCAATTTTCCCATCTGTGAAAAATGATAAATCAAAAAAGCTTAAATGCTCCTTGGATAACTAATGGTTTTAAAAAATTATCTAAGATCAAACAAAAGCTATTTATAAATTATTTAAAAACAAAAACACATTTGAACGAAAAATTATACAAAGATTACAAATATCTATTTGAAAAAACTCGTAAAAATTTAAAAAAGAATTACTACTCAAAATTAATTGAAAATGTTAAGAACGACTCTAAACGTACTTAGAAAATATTAAAAGAAATTGGTGGAAAACAAAAAACTTGCTCAGGTTCCCTACCGCAGGTGATTAGACTGGATAACAAATATGTTTTTGAACCTACATTAATAGCTCATGAGTTTAACAAATTCTTTATTGATAACGGTTCGAAACTAGCAAATAAAATTCCTAATACCCAAGTTGTGTTCAATAACTTTTTAAAACCGATGGATGATTGCATTTGCTCCAATAATTTCTGAGCTACCATCTTCTGAGCTATCATTTGAGGAGTTTCAAGTGTCGTTTAAATCTATTAAAAAAACAAAGCCCCTGGAGCTGATGAAATAAATGGAAACATAGTCTTAGAATGCTTTGAAAAATTAAAAGATATTCTCTTTAAAGTTTTCAGAGCATCAATACAGCAAGGAGTTTTCCCTGATAAGTTAAAAATAGCTAAGACAATCCCAATATACAAAGAAAGAGACAGAACTAATGTATGTAACTACCGACCTATATCTATTTTATCAACATTTTTAAAAATCTTAGAAAAAATTATTTACAATAGATTATATACTTATTTTAAGGAGAAGAATTTTTTTTATAAAAATCAGTTTGGTTTTAAATAGTTCTACTGTGCATTCGTCCGTGATATCTCTAACTCTTTCAAAAATTCACAATTCACTTTAGGTGAATCTGTTAGCAATATTAATCAATTCTTCACTTCTATGAATGAAGAACTCAAAATAATTTCTAGCTGGTTCAAATGCAATAAACTTACCCTAAATATTAAAAAAACAAAATGGATTCTTTTTCATTCGATAACTAAAAAACGTTATTTACCCCCAACCCTACCTGATATTTTTATTGACCAAATTGAAATAAAAAGAGATTGTTAGGCGTATTCCTTGATGAGAACATCACATTGAAGCAACATATTGATTATGTTGTTACTAAAGTTTCAAAAAATATTGGAATTCTTTATAAGGCCAGAATATATATAAATAAAAAAAGTTTTATCCCAACTTTATTACGCATTCATTCATAGCTATATGAATTATACAAATATTGCTTGAACAAGAACTGAAAAAAGTAAGTTACAAGCCGATTATCGCCGTCAGAAACATGCAATACGTGTAACTAATTTTGCTGCTCTATCGCCGTCAGAAACATGCAATACGTGTAACTAATTTTGCTGACCGTTTTTCTCACTCTAAGCAACTTATTTTATGAAATGAGAATACTTAATATTTACGAACCTTATATTTTTAATATTTTATGCTTTGTATATATATGTAAAAACTTTCTCCTGCCGTTTTTAATTATTTAATTACCTTGAAACCTATCAATAAATACTCTCTAAGAAATAACAACCTTTGCATTGATTATCGTGCATCCCATCTATGGAACAAAATTGTTTTGCCTAATTTAAATTTTGATCTACCTACTTCTTTGCATCTTTTTAAAGTTAAGCTGAAAAATCTTTTCTCTCCCGTATTATCAAAATTTGACAATAATATTTATATTATAGAAATATTTATTAAACTTTATTATTTATACTACAAATTAATATATATGTATGTACATTTTATTTTTATTTTGTTGTACTTATAGTTACTTTATAACCTAATATTTTGTTTACACTAGTATAAGGTTCTGATGATAAAATCTCACTGATCTTCTTTCAGATACCTACCCGACGGGCATTTGTTTTTAAAAGTTACGTTCTAAATGTGTTTTAAACGTCTTTTAAACGTCTTTTAAACATTAATGTTTAAAAGACGTTTAAAAGACATTTAAAATACATTTAGATCGTAACTTTTAAAAACAAATGCCCGTCGGGTAGTTTTTCAAATGTTAGTAGTATTTGCTTACTTTATAATTTGCATTAATTTTTTAATTACTCTCATTATATTGTAAAAACGAACTAGCAAATGTAAACTAAAATATTAAAAAAAAAAATATATTGAATAAACTTTATAATTTCTCCATGAAAAAAATTTTATTTAACCAATTTGGTTATACAAAACTATATATATAAAAAAAATATATATATATAGTTGACAAGGCATGGCGCAGGTAGCGCGTTTGCCTAAGAAACAAAGGATCCGTGGTTCCAACCCCACCTCTGGCCAAATTTTTCGACATCAGTAAGGAAGGTGGCGTGAACTTCCTATTAAATGCTCATCCCGATGCTCTGTGATAAGACCGTAAGGACTTCTTGGGGCACCTAAATAAAATTAAATTAAATATATATACATATAATATATATATACATATATATATATATATATATATATATATATATATATATATATATATATATATATATATATATATATACACATATATATATATATATATATATATATATATATATATATATATATATATATATATATATATATATATGTTTTTTTTTTTTTTTAACATTTTCACTTCCAACAAGGCTGCAAGCTACCACTATAAGAGTTGGAAGTTACTGGAAGAGAAAAGACTAAATCTGTAGAGCAAGATAACGATTGACTGATGACTTAAAAGATTGCAAATTATATGAATCAGGAAAGCAAGATGAAGGAAGCGAATTCCAAAGAACTGATGTTCGAGGAAAAAAACTAGAAGAATAAGAGTTTTTGAAGCACTTAGGAACAGTCACAGAAAAAGGATGAGACTTAATTGAATGGCGAGTAACACGAGAATGAATTTTAGTAGATGGCACAAGGGACGCTAGCTCTTTAGAGCAGTGCCCATTATAGTATTTGTAGAAAAGAGAAAGAGAAGCAACATTACGACGATGTGACAAAGGTTGGAGATTGGCTGCCAGAGCAGGTCCAACTATGTTAACAATTCGTTTTTGCACCTTGTCTAAAAGAGAAAGAGCATCATTAGAAGATCCGCCCCAGATGTGGCAACAGTATTCCATACAGGGACGGATTTGAGATTTATAGAGATAGAGAATAGAATCTGGAGTAAGAAAGTGTCGAGCTCGATAAAGAGATGCAACCTTAGCAGATGCTAATTTTGCAATGGATTTGATATACGGTTTAAAAGAAAGATCAGAAGTAAGAGTTAATCCTAGAAGATGAATGGTAGATGACTCATCTAGTACATTACCATTCATAAATATAGGAAGATCTAAATTATTACGATAACGATTGGCCGAATAAAATTGAGTTTTATCTGAATTAAAGTTCACCAGCCACTGTGAGCCCCATGCTGTAGCAGAAGTGAGATCCTTTTCAAGCTCAGATACCCCCTCCAAGCAATCAGAGAGTGTAGGCTTCTTATCATGACAAGAGTAAATGGTAGTGTCGTCAGCGAATAATGCCACCTTAGATGTGAGAATATCTGGAAGATCGTTAATGTAAATTAAAAAGAGTATAGGGCCAAGGATTGAACCTTGAGGAACCCCTGAAGTTACAGGATGTGAAGAAGAGTGTTGTCAATCGAGGACAACTTTTATACTACGATTGGAAAAAAAGGACTCAATAATCTTAAAGACGTTACCAGCTACACCATAAGAAGAAAGCTTATGGAGAAGACCAGCATGCCAAACTTTATCAAAAGCTTTAGAAATGTCAAGTGCGATAGCCTTAACCTCTCCACCTCTATCTAATGCACGGTAAAACCTATCGGTTATTACTGTTAGCACATCAGCTGTAGAACGAGAAGACCGAAATCCATATTGATGATCAGAAAGTAAGTTATTTGATATATATATATACATATATATATATATATATATATATATATATATATATATATATATATATATATATATATATATATATATATATATATATATATATATATATATATATATATATATATATATATATATATATATATATATATATATATATATATATATATATACATTATGCACATATCACATTATTTGTATGAAGTATGGTAATATTATGCAAATTGACCCAAAATAATCAAATAGCTGGCTATAAGCACACCCACACAGTGTGGTCGAACTCAATTTTGATTTTAATTCAGATAAAGTATTTACGCAGTAAAACTAATGTTTTAAAAATAAAACTAATGTTTTACACACCTGATGCTTTCATCATTATTTTTAGCATTATTTTTCACAAAACCAACCCTTAAAACTTCTCCAATGCATAAATTTTTTGAAACATTGAAAACAAGAAAACTTTTTGTTAATTTGACATTTCTTTGTTGCTTGATTTTTCAAACTCGTTTTAAAAAAACTCGTATTAAAAAAGGAGTCAAGATTTAGGAGAGAGATTTAAATCGCTTAGGTACTCCTTTGTCTATAATACTCCCCCCTCCCTACCTTGTGCACACTAATGTTTTTGGGTAACTTCGCCAATACCTGCGTTCGTACTTAATGGAAAACCCCTATCGAGAGTCAACCGTACATACATCAAATGATAAATAAGAATTATACTAACAAATGTCTATGGTTCGGGGTAGGGTTTAATCAGATCAATTAATGAATAATCAGTATGGGAAAGGTTTATATAGCTTCTCTCTTTTTTATGTGATATGTGGTAGTTTATTCCACAGCGCTCTTGTTTGTAATTAAGTTTTTTAGTTTTATCTATTTTATAGTTTTTATATATTTATTTATAACTGATAAATTCGATAAATAAATTAAAAAAAAAAGGAATCATAAATGTAAACAGCTTTGCATTAAATTTTTGTTATTAAGTTTCTGAAATAGTTTTAATAAAAAGATGTATATGTATATATATTATATATACTATATATATATAATATATATACATATGTATATATATTATATATATATATATATATATATATATATATATATATATATATATATATATATATAATATACTATATATATATATATAATATATATACATATGTATATATATATATTATATATATATATATATATATATATATATATATATATATATATATATATATATATATATATATATAGTATATATATATATATATATATGTATATATATATATATATATATGTATATATATATATATATATATATATATATATATATATATATATATATATATATATATATATATATATATATATATATATATATATATATATATATATATATATATATATATATATATATATATATATATATATATATATATATATATATATATATATATATAAGAAAAAAAATTTTGAAAATTTTGAATTTTTTTTTTCTTGGATTAACTTTTTGATGTTTTGGTCTGGAAGTTTTAAGTCTTGATCTCGGCCTTAAGTCATAATGTCTTAATGGTCATAATGGTCATAATGGTCTTGTCCTATATTGTCTTGACTACATCTCTGGTATACTTAAACACACATATATACATATATATGTATATATATATATATGTATATATATATATATATATATATATATATATATATATATATATATATATATATATATATATATTTTAAATGTACATATGAAATCTTAAAAGAACAGAGCAATTATAAATTGCTCTGTTTATATGTGTATATATATATATATATATATATATATATATATATATATATATATATATATATATATATATATATATATATATATATATATATATAAATATTCTAATTCTTAATTTATTTTCAGTCTTTAGTTATTATTTTTTGAAAGTTTTTTTTATTTCTATAATAGTTCAAATATTTTGAAAATTTTTTTACAGCACAAATTTTTTATTTATTTTTGTCATCATAGTTATACTGTTTTATGGATATTATTTTAATAGAAAAAATGAGAACTCGAAGTAGAAAAAGTAAAACCCCTCAAAAAGAAGCTGTAGTAAAAAAAGAAACTACAGTTGAAGAAGCTTCAGTTGAAAATGAAGCCAACGTCGAAAAAGAAGCAACAGCTGGAAAAGAAGCCACAGTTGAAAATGAAACCATAGTTGTAAAAAAGAAACCAAAGTTTGTTTGTGAAAAGGAAGATATTACAGATTTAAAATTTAAAAACACTCCTGATGAATTAATAACTTCAGATGATGAGGCTCCGCTTGACATTAGTCTTAAGGTAAGCAAAATGCTATCTGAAGAAGCAAGACAAAAACAAGTTGAATTGCTAAAAGAAATGAAAAAGAAGAAAAGAGTTGTCCAATCTATGAGAGAACAAAAAAATAAGAAACAAAAATTGATGAAGAAAAAAATACTTATTCCAGAAAAGTTAGATGAAGAGTTGCTGCGTTGTGTCGACAAAGATGTTTCCATTAATAAAATCAGTTTGACCACTCCAGTTTTAGTTAATACAAAAACAACATTTTCAGATGACTCAGATAATTCATCAGACGATGATAATAAAAATATGGATTGTAAAATCACCTCTTGTGTTCTTACAGATGTTGTTAAAAGTGATAAAAACAATCAAGCTAGAGTTTTTCTTCAAAATCATTTCTTTAATAATAAACGTATTGTAAGAAAAAAGATATGCATATAATTCTAGTATCAAAGTTTTTTTCAAATAGTTATATTCTGAAAAACCAATATTTGTATAACTTTTTAATGATTAAAAAAATCAGCAGAAACTGATTATTTTTGTTTGTTCAGTTGTTCTTTATTATTCATTTATTTACTGTAGTTTTATATATTAGCTAACAAATTTTATCCACAGCATTATTGTTACACACAGATAACTATAAAGTATACTTTGATAATGGAAGGATTTATGCATTATTTAAAGACACGTACTGCAAGCCTTTTAACAGAACTTGACAGTCAGTAAAATTTTGAAATTTTTTATTTGTTGCTATGGAAAATCTTATAAACAATAGTTTGCTAAATTAAATTCAAAATTGAAATTTTAGAAAGACTTTTGGTGGTATTAAGAGATGGGCGTACCTTGATTGGCGAGTTACGCTCGGTTGATCAATTTGGTGAGTGATATTGCGAATTTATATTTTAGCAAATATTTATTAATTTTGTTCTAGTTAATCAACTCTACAGCTTTTTTTCAAAAAGATAATAAAATTCATTTGTTGATTTTTATAAAATAAACACATTTTATAAACGCTATTGAAAATTTTGAAGAATTATGAAGAAATTCATAAAAATCATAAGTTTTAAAAAACTTTACAAAAAGTTTTTTTATTATAAATTTCGTTTTTCTCAAGATATGTAAAAGGATCTTAAAGCGTTTTGGAAAAAAGTTGTAGTACTAACATAATAACCATTGTTGGGCAAGAATTTATGTGTTTTTTGTTTGTTTAATAAGTTTATATTTTAATCTACTAATAAAATAAAAGTAAATAATAATAAAAATTATAATAAAAAAAATGTAAAATTGATTACAATTCGATGCAGTGATAATAGAAATTACTTTCAGCAAATGTGGTCCTTGAAAATACAATAGAAAGAATACATGTGGGAAACAAGTATGGTGACATATCACGTGGAGTCTTTATTGTTCGTGGTGACAACATAGTGTTGTTAGGAGAAATGGTTTGTTTTTATTTTGTTTAAAACAATTATTTGAAAACAGTTTTTATAAGATAATTTTTAAAAATTATATATTTAAAAATTTAAAAATTATATATTTACCTTTCCAGAGCTAGTTGGTCATTACATTGCAGAGGATTTTTTTTTAAATAATAGGTTTTACTAAAACACAATTCTAATACAAAAAATAAAAGTTAAAAATTATACAAAATACAAAAGCCCTAACCAAAAAAAATATAAAAAGAAAAATAGATAAAAATAGTAATACAAGTAAAAATAAAAGTAATAATTAAAAATTAACAAAAATAAATTTAAAAATTAACATTTTTTTTTTTTTTTTAATTATCTTTGCTTCCAACAAGGCTGCAAGCAACCACTAATTAGCGTTGGAAGTTACTGGAAGAGAAAAGATGAAGATTGTAGAGCAAGATAACGATTGACAGACGACATAAAAGATTGCAAATTATATGAATCAGGAAAGCAAGATGAAGGAAGCGAATTCCAAAGAACTGATGTTCGAGGAAAAAAACTAGATGAATAAGAGTTTTTGGAGCACTTAGGAACAGTAACAGAAAATGGATGAGACTTAATTGAATGACGAGTAACACAAGAATGAATTTTAGTAGATGGTACAAGAAACGCTAGCTCTTTCGAGCTGTGCCCATTATAGTATTTGTAGAAAAGAGAAAGAGAAGCAACATTATGACGATGTGACAGAGGTTGAAGGTTGGCTGCAAGAGCAGGTTCAACTATGTTTACAATGCGTTTTTGCACCATGTCTAAAAGAGAAAGGGCATCATTAGAAGATCCGCCCCAGATATGGCAACAGTATTCCATACAAGGCCGGATTTGAGATTTATAGAGATAGAGAATAGAATCCAGAGAAAGAAAGTGACGAGCTGGATAAAGAGAAGCAACTTTAGCAGATGCTAATTTTGCAACGGATTTCATATAAGGTTTCCAAGAAAGATCAGAAGTAAGAGTTAATCCTAGAAGATGAAGGGTAGGAGACACATCAAGTACATTACCGTTCATAAATATAGGAAGGTCTAAACTATTGCGATAACGATTGGCCGAAAAAAATTGAGTTTTATCTGAATTAAAGTTCACCAGCCACTGTGAGCCCCATGTTGTAGCAGAAGTGAGATCCTTTTCAAGCTCAGATGCTCCCTGCAAGCAATCAGAGGGAGTTGGCTTCTTATCGTGACAAGAATTAAATGGTAGTATCATCAGCGAACAATGCCACCTTAGATGTGAGAATATCTGGAAGATCGTTTATGTAAATTAAAAAGAGTATAGGGCCAAGGATTGAACCTTGGGGAACCCCTGAGGTTACAGAATAAGAAGAAGAGTGCTGTCCATCAAGGACAACTTTTATACTACGATTGGAAAGAAAGGATTCAATAATCTTAAAGATGTTTCCAGATACACCGTAAGAAGAAAGCTTATGGAGAAGACCAGCATGCCAAACTTTATCAAAAGCTTTAGAAATGTCAAGAGCAATGGCCTTAACCTCTCCACCTTTATCTAATGCGCGATAAAACCTATCAGTTATTACTGATAGCAAATCAGCCGTAGAACGAGAAGATCGAAATCCATATTGATGATCAGAAAGTAGGTTATGAGATTCGAGATGAGAGATTAAGTGTTTGTTAATTAAAGATTCAAAAACCTTGCTTATGATAGGAAGAAGACTAATGGGATGGTAATTAGATGAATTGGATCGCTCTCCAGAATTTTTAAAAATAGAGATAACAGAAGCTGCTTTCCAGCAGGCTGGAAAACAAGACTCTGATAAGCACTTGTTAAATAGTTTTGAAAGGATAGACCACAGCTCCGGAGAACACTTCTGCAAGACTATAACAGGTATGTTGTCCGGGCCGCAAGCTGTAGAAGAGTCTAAGCGGGAAATCACTTTAGATACAGAAGCTGGAGTGATACGAATGTCGAGCAATGGATCAACCTGTTTGACGGCTATATCAGGTAGAACGCAACTGGTGGCATCAAGAGATGATATTGATGAAAAGTTCTTGGCAAACAATTCAGCTTTGTCTTTAGGTGAGGTGACAAAGTCTGTACCATACAAAAGAGGTGGAATTACAGACTTACCCTTATTATTGATACTATTAAAGATTCTTCAGAAGTCACAAGAGCCTAATTTTTGAGATGAAATACGAGATTTCATAATCTGAGAATAGCAGGCTTTGGCATTAGACAAAACCTTTTTACAATGGTTCCTAGTAGTAATAAACAGACATCTGTTTTCTGGAGAATTGTTTTGCTGATAGATATGGAAGTAATGGTTTCGATTGGCAATTGCAGCAGCACAACGCAAGGAAAACCATGGAGAAGAGTGAGGCTTGACCTGAAATTGTCGAGAGGGAATAAAGGATTCTATGCAAGCCTGAATCCACAAAGTTATGTAAGAAGCACATTTGTCAACAGGGAGGCGAAAGATTTCTACCCAGGGGCCATCACAAAGAAAATCACGGAAAGAGTCCCAGTCAGCTTTAAGGTATTCATAAGATGTACGATGATAGGGGGATTTTGATGGTGAAGAAGAATGAGATAATAGTTTTAGAGAGACCAAACCATGATCAGAAGCACCTAAGGGTGAGTATGAAGAAACTGAGCACTGACTAGGATCAGAAACAAGACATAAGTTGAGTAGGGAAGGTAAATGATTCGGGTTGTCTGGAAAGCGAGTTGGAAATTTGACTATTTGAGTTAGGGATTGAGAAAGACAAAAGTTGTGGGCCTTAATGCCTGCAGAGTCACTGACACTAGACCAAGCTATTCAGTGTGATGAACATTAAAGTCACCGACAACAACAATATTGGCTGATGGATAGAGAATGAGGGCTTGGTCAATATAATCAGAAATTATATCAAGAAGAGTGCAGTCTTGAGATGAGGGAGAGCGATATAGAACAAAGAGAAAGATGATAGAGTGAAGTGGTGGCTAAACGAAAGCACATAAAAAAGTAGTCTGTGGATTTAAACCTAGTTTCCCAACAAATGGGTGAATTCTTACAAATGTAAATGCCTAGGCCAAGCATGTGAATATTGGAGTCTTTACGAATTAAAGGAAGATAACCATCAGCACTAAGATCACAAGATGAGACAGCTGAACTCAAATTAGTCTCACAAAGAGCAAGTAGGTCTGATGAACTTTGCAAGAGATAAGACTCAACAGAAGAAAAGTTACTTTAAAGACCACGAATATTGGTGAATGATAGGTTTAGCGAACTTGGTGATGACTGTGGTTTTTGTGTTATATAGTTTTTGTTACTTTATTCATTTTTAAATTTGTTAAAGAACTTGACTCGAAACATAGATAGTGCTCAGTACACTGCTTTATAGCTCAAGCAATTGCCTCATTTCTAGTAATAAACCCTAAGCCGTAACAAAGGGCTCCAATGTGGCCTTGGCAATGCACACCAAAAGTACAAACAAGGACACCACCCATGTGCAACATGGCACTGTTAGTACTCTGATATTTTTCAGCTGTTGAACAGATGTTCAGAACAAAATGGAAGCATACTTCAGTAAAGTGTGTAATAAAAGTAGTAGTATAAGTAATGTATGCAATTAAAATGTCAAATTAACTAAAAATGTCATAAAAATTAATAAAAATGTCAAACTAGTTAATTCTAGAAAAAGCCATAGCATAACTATTAATTCAAATGAGCTAAAAGATATTTAAACTGCACAAGTAACACTTGATACTTATTTGATAAAATCTAGAAAATGCAAAGAAATCAAAAATGTATACGGTAAAATAGTTTAGTAACCATGTAACTTTGGTCATTTATGAATAAGTAACAAAAAAGTGCAAGCTTTTTTTTCTCCAACAATATTTTTTGACATTTTGTGCATAAGAATCATAAAAAAAATGTTTATTGAAATCTGAAATAGTTTGTTTGCATAACAAGAGTTTTGGAGTTATGCATACGATTGAAATCTAAAATAAGCAAACTCTTTAATAAAATGATCAAGTTTAGTACTAATGTTATCAAGAGTCGCTAAGTTAACAATATTTAAAAAAAAAATTATTTTTAAATGTCAAGTACTCTTTTTATTCAATATAAATGAAATTTTAAAATTCAATAACTTCGCTCACTAAAGATTATTTGCAGAACGTCACTAAACGATAAAAACAACAATTAGTGGGAATGTCATGAAATATCAATTATGAAAATTTTTCGTGAACCATTTAATGAAAAAATATATTTAATTGCACAACGCTAAAATTTGTTTGAAAATAAAAGTTTTAAAATCGTGTATATTATCAAAACTTCAAATAAGCAAACTCTGAAAGTCATCAAGACTTTTCTTTTGTGCGTTTTCATTTAGCATGACTTCCCTCTAACACAAATAGTCAGCTTTCCAACTTCATTTCCAGACAGTCCTAATCATTTACTTTCTATACTCGACTTGTATCTTGTTTCTGATCCTAGTCAGTGCTCAGTTTCTCTACATTAACCCCTAGGTGCTTCTGATCACAATTTGATCTTTATGAAACTGTTATCTCATTTTTTTTCATTATCAGAATCCCCCTATCATTGCACCTCTTACAACTACCTTAAAGCTGGCTGGGGCTTTTTCTGAGATTTTCTTTGTGATGGCCCTTTGGTAGAAATCTTTTGTCTTCTTGCTGACAGTTGTGCTTCTTAGGTAATTTCTTGGATTCAGGCTGACATGAAATCTTCTATTCCCTCTCAATGATTCAAAGTCAAGCCTCATTTTCTCCATAATTTTCCTCTGATTGTGCTCCTGTAATTTCCAATCATAACCATTACTTTCATATCTATCAGCAAAACAGTTCTCCAGAAAATAGACGTCTGTTTACTATTGCTACAAACAATTTTAAAACAATTTCATCTCAAAAATTAGGTTCTCGTGACTGCTGGAGAATTTTTAACAGTATCTATATAAGAGCAAATCTGTTATTCCGTCTCTCTTGTATGGTTCAGATTTTGTCTCTTCACCTAAAGACAAAGC